ATTATAAAAGACTTCATAACGGATTTTTCCCAGTGCTTTTTTTATATCTGCTTTTGTTTAATTTAGACTGCGGAACTTTATGCAAAATATTTAACTGAATGTTTTGCATAAAATGCATATTTTGCAATTTTGTAAATTTACAGATGGCAATCTCAATCTTTTTATTTCACCTTTTAATAACTCTTTAACGAACAACGATTGACTGCTAAAACTATCCGATAGTTAATATTCAGTTAAGTATTTTGCATAAAGTTCCGCAGTCTAGTTTGATTAGTGTACTCAAGTAATAGCTTCATCTTGTGGTGATTCGTATTTTTGTCTGCATGTTCAAAGGATGAAGTCGTCGTAATATCATCCTGATAATATTCTCTTCTCTCTATTATGCTTTTGATATTTACTCTATTCTCTACAGCAGCTTGAAAGAAAGTTGAGAGAACATTGCCATCTTCTTGATTTAAAATATGTAAGAGAAACTGAGTACTGTGTAGTAACTCTGACGGTATAGGTTGATTATTTTTTTTACCAGATCAATTATTTCATCGTAACTTTGTCTAAAGTTTGTCAATTCTTCAGTGCGTTTCATGAATAAACTCTCTAAAAATATGTTGATATGCGGCTCATGCGAGCGATTAGCGGTATTAATATTCAAGCATTTCCACTTTAGCTAGAAAATTTTAGCAGATAGGGTAAAAGAAATGTATTTTTTTTATAGTTTGTTGAAATAAATAGATGTTCTTGCATGGGATGCGTATTGTAAATTAATTGACATAACTTGATCAATTGAATATTTAAAGATTTTTGTGAAAAATTCGTTAATTATCCGGGTTAAGTTGCAATTAATTTTTTCTCTAAGCTATGTTAGAGTTGCCAAGAAAGTTTGCGTTGAGAATTGAATTTGTGATCAAATAGAAGATTTTTGAGAAAGCTATAAGAAGGTATCGTGACTTTATAATAGACCTCTTTGGAAGTTTGTGTTTCTTTTTGAGAATTGGTGCGTCAATTTCGCATTTCGGATCCTCATGTATGCATCCCCTGTAATGAAGAGTTGGTATTTAATTTAAGTGCATACGAAATTAGAGGCTTAAAAAAAGAGTTAGGAGAAATTATACGCAGTGTATCACAATAAAAGAACATAGAGAGCATTTTGATGACGCCAATTTTTGAGGTACGACGAGTATGCATGAATTTATTGGGAGCTTATGCAGATCTATTATGAGTTGTAATTTTTATGCGTTTATCTAGGAATATTTGATTAAAAATGTTTATCTTATTGATACAAAGAGAAGTGTTGTTATTAAAATGACGATACAACTAAAAGATGTTTTATATTTTTATTATATATAACTTATAATTTTTAATAAAAATATAAATCTTTTGATGTTTACTTGTGTGCATGAAATAATAATGATGATGCTATATATAGAGGTGTTGTATTATACTGAAAAATTATTGGAATTTTATTCTTGTTGTTTTTAAGCAGAGGTGAAAATATTTTGTCTATATGCTTCATTTTAGCGGCCTTTCCAGTGTAATACTGATGTAACATATCAAATTCGCCAAGAGGATTATTTGATGAATTCTTATAAATTAATGTGAAAAGGTTATTTATGCCAGTAAACAGAGAGTATTTGATGCGTGTAGTTGATCAGATTAAAAAGCAAGTTGGACTGCATGTGTTTCAAGCTGAATATATAGTGGATGCTGTGATAGATTTTATTATTGAATCTCTTGCAGCAGATAATTGCATCGTGCGCATTAAATCATTGGGTTCATTTTATGTGCATAGACGAAAGGCAAGAATGATATATAACCCAAAAATTGGCAAAGAAGTATTTGCACCTGAAAAAAGAGTGATGAAGTTTAGAGCATCTCGATATCTGAAGTCTGCAATTGATTTTAACATTAACATGATTATCAGAACGTATAGCGTAGACAAAAAAAGAGGTGTGCCGCGCGCGGGATATAAAAATTCAGATTTTATTAATCTATAACATTAAACATCACTCTTTATTTGCAAGCTTTGACATGTTGAAGTGTCGTATAATTAGTTTTGAAAGAAGTCTAGTATAGGTGAAGCTCTATATATCAATTGTGCCACTAGACTTTGATCTTAAAGCTCAAGCTTCAATGAAAGAACTATAGTTGTTGTAATTTAAGAGAGCATTGCATCTAGCATCCATATATTCTTTTCATGTTCAGCAAGCTGTGATGTTAAAAAGTCTGCGGCTACAAAATCTGATACTTTTTCAGAATCTTCTATAATTGTCCTGATTAAATCAGAGAGAATTTTATTATCCTCGAGAAGATGTTTGAGCATAGATTGCCAATTTGCCGACATCTCAATACCAGATTTTATTACACTATTTTTTTCAAATTCTGCGAATGAGGCATTTACAGTTTGTTGTCGCATTATTATAAGTTCAGTAATTCCATCTATCCTAGATTGCATGGTTTCGTATTGTTCTTGAAATAATGCGTGTAGCGAATGAAAGTGTGGTCCTGATACGTTCCAGTGACAAGATTGTGTCTTTAGGTAAAGACTATAAGTGCTTGCAAGTATTTTATGTAAATCTCTCATCTTAGCCTTTCATAAAAATTAGTATTTTAATTTATTTGAAATTAATCTTGTGAGTAATGCCTCTTTTTTGTGGAAAGTAGTGTAACATTGCGCTGCAGAGAAAAGCAAATGATTATACATGCAGCTACATGTGACTTCATTAGACGGCTATAGATTTCAAGCTTTTTACACATAAGTGCTTTGATGTTAAATTTTAATATTTTAGTGATGATAATCTCATCAAACTCAGTATATACTAGTCATGCTTGAAAAATTGACGTCGTCAGAATGCGCATTATGTATTTTATATACATACCTTGCGCACTATTCTTTCTAGCTCTTTTTGAAGTCTAACTTTGTATGTACTTAAATGTAAATATTAACTTTTCATTTAGCGTAGGTATATAACTAAATCGAGTGTGAATAAGTATGTTAAGTCTTGCCTCTTTGGCAAATTTTTCAGTTTCTAGCCCGAAATGTAATGATGTTTCAGGTCCTAAACAAATGAGAATTTATTCTAAAATGCCAGCTTATCATGCATATTTTATAGTGTTTTGGCTGTGCAAAAGAAAAATTACGTTGCAACTATGCTAATATTAGCAAATATTGCAATTTAAGCAATCTTATATTTCGCTTGTCTTAATATTAAGTGTGTGCTCATATGTTGAATATGAAGAAAAGATTAAGGCTATAAGATTTGTGGAGTTGGTTATATGAGTTATAGATATATTAGAATATTCCTAGCTATATTATTTTTTATGGCATTTGTTGTTTATCTATTAGACTCTGAGAATAATAAATCTAAAAAAGGTTTTTCCGTAAAGATACTGCAAACAGTTGAGCATCCAGCTCTTGATATGACTAGGAATGGCATTGAAGATTATCTGAAGGAATGTTGTAGTGTAGCTGTGAATTATAAAACTGCACAGGGAAGCCAAGAGTTAGCGAAGCAGCTTGCTAGAGGTTTTGTATCCAGACGTAGTTGTTGCAATAGGTACGCAGGCTGCTCAGGTATTATCATTGTATCACGAAAATATACCACTTGTGTTTAGCTCTGTAACAGATCCTGTGACTGCGGGGCTTATGAAGGACGTAAAAGTACCTAATTCAAATGTTACAGGAGTATCAAATATGGTGCCAGTTGTAGGCAGTTGGGGTTATTCAAAAAAATACTGCCAATTCTAAGAAATCTTGGGATGTTATACAGTCCTGTTGAGGCAAATTCTCTTGAGTTAATCAGAGTAATAAGACGTGGTGCTCCGAGTCTTGGTATCCAGATCATTTCGGTTCCTGTTTATTCAGGTGGCGATATAATTAGCTCTGCAAAGCAGTTAACTAAAGATGTAGATGCATTATTCGTTGGCAATGATAATATCACATTATCTTTTCTTCAGGGGATAGTGAAGATTGCAGAAGATGCAAAGAAACCTGTATTTTATAGCGATATAGATGCTATAAATATGGCATTACAGCTGCTATCGGTCCTAATCAATATGAAATAGGTAGAGAAACTGGTCGTATAATAGAGCGTATATTAAATGGTGAGAAAGTATCTAATATACCAGTTGTGTTTCCAAAGGAGCAGGAAATATCCATCAATCTGAGAGCTGCTGAGAGGGTAGAGCTTAATATACCTGATTCTGTGCTTAAAAATGCTAATAATGTTATCCAATAGTAGTTTTTACTTTATTCATACTAAATTATTTGTGAATTTATTTGCAATTTGACATGAAGTGGTACGGTCATTAGTGTTGTTTATGTTTATTTGAGATAATGCGTGAGATCTGCTTAATTATTGCATTAGCTATATGTGCCTATTCAAGATTGTTGAGATTTTTTATGTGTAGAATATTGTGATATAAAATTACAATACACGAGCTATTGCATGAGAAATATTTCTAAAAAGAGACGGATATATGAAATATTTAAGAATATTTAAGGGTGTCTCTCTCTCTCTCTCTCTCTCTCTCGAGGTATAATTTTGGCTTAAAATAACATTATTTGCGAGATTATGCTGGTTATATGTTGCATATTCAAAGCATTTATATATAATGCTATATATAATTTTTTAATTTAGTCATTTGTTCCTTATATGTCGCAGTCACTCGATGAAAAAATGCTTATTGAAGGTTTCTTGAAATATTATGACATGGGTCACGTTGTAGATTCTAGAGTTCGAAATAGAGCAAAGCAATACGTCATGGCGATAAAGAAAAGCAAAGCGACGATTGTAGAAAGTTTCATGCAAAAATATGAATTTTCCACTGAAGACGGTGTTGCCATAATGTGTATAGCGGAGAGTTTACTAAGAATTCCTGATGAATATACTGCGCAGCAGTTGATAGTAGATAAGATATTAGACAAAGATTGGCTGAAGCATTCAGGAAAGAGCGAGTCTTTATTTGTAAATACTTCTACTTGAGGGCTTTTTGTTATTGGTAAAATGCTCAAATTTAACGAGTTAGACTTTGATGTTGTAAGGCTAATAGGAAAATTTGGTAAAAGTGTTGTCTCAAAGATTTTTAAAAAAGCGGTAAATTCCATAGCAAATACCTTCATTATGGGAGATTTTATAAAGTCTGGTGTAGAAAATGCAAAGCGATACGAGAAAAATGGGCAAAGAGTTTCATACGATATACTTGGAGAGTCATCAAGAAATATAGAGCAGGTTGAGAGTTATTACTCGCATTATCTAACGGCTGTAGATGTAGTAGCGGGTGATAAAAAGTGGGAAGATTGCTATAGTTGTCCTAGTATCTCTGTAAAGCTTTCTGCCCTTCATCCAAGATTTGAGTTGCTCCAAAGAGAGAGGGTGTTTAGAGAATTATTGCCAAGAGTTGAGAATATAGTGAGGCAATGTGCAGCGAAAAATATATCTGTAACATTTGATGCAGAGGAAGCAAACAGGCTAGATATGTATCTTGCGCTTCTGACAAAGTTTATCTCAAGTGAAGAATTCTCATTCTATAATGGTATAGGCTTTGTTGTGCAAGTGTATCAGAAACGTGCATTTCCTGTAATAGACTATATTATAAAGTATAGAAATCAAAGCCTTTACACCGTC